GGATAAAGGAGGTGTGGCTAAAGGAGGCATGACTGTTAAACGTTCCAAATGGTATTTGGTTAGACATCTAAGAGTTAAATCTAGACAATAATAATGATATTGAAAATTTTTCTATTTAATGCCTACCAGTTGCTGATCCACACAAGTGTTTACTTACTGCTACTATGTGCTTGTGATTTTTAAAATTTTGATACAAACCTAAGATTAAGAATAAGAATATATGAATGCAGAATTACCTTCAGGAGACAATTTTTAGCGGGTGATTAATTTAGCAAATTTTAGCTATTTTTGAAAAATCACTAACTTTAATTTTTGATTAAACTATATTAAAATGTTGAAAATGCTAAATAAAATACCAGACAAATGTCAGTATCATGAAAATCGCTAAAATAGATACACGCTAATAATTGTCTCCTTAAGGTAGCCTAAGGTATAGCAATTGAATTAGCTTTATGTATCAGTACATGCTATGGTACATGCATTATAGCTACATGCATGCAGATGCAAGCATTGAAAAGCATTACACTAACACTGGTATTTTAATTCTGAATTGTTCAATTTACATTGCACAATGCGGAATCACGTGATACTATAGATATTAAATGACCGCACCCAATTTTGGAACTAATTAAGTAATTTGGTTCTGATCGCTGCTCTGGATATTGCTTTATAATGGCTATCAAACTCAGTTTTATCTTTGCATTGGTTTGCCTTTCCTTTGATTGTGTTTGCTGTAGTAGTTCTTCAGGTGCCGGTCCCGCTACTCAAACCTGTCCCAATGGCTACTATTGCCCAACCACAAATGGCTGTTTAACTCCACGTAGTGCCCGTTGCACAACAAGCCAGAATTGCCCCGCTTTAGACCAGTCATGTAACAAACAGTCTGGTAACAGTTACCTTATACAGATTGGTCATGCTGAGCTTGGACTCTCTGGTTCTAAGAAGACTTTATTTGAGCACAGGTTTGTCATATATCGTGGGTTCGCTTATGAGTTTGGAGGATCCTATAATACTCAAGTTCTGGACATATCTGATCCACAGTACAAATATGTTGGTGGTAGACACCTTAACTCTAATGGGATAGAATCAGCTGGTACTAGTAGATGTACTTATGCAGATGCCCAAATGTTTGTTACTGGTTGGACAAAGAAATACAACGTCTTCACTAATAATTGCCAGAATTTTGTGAAGGCCATGACCAAATACCTAAAAACAAATTGCAATCGGTCTATTTCAAAACAAAATACAAACAGTACAGCCTCACTGCAGGATGAAATTGAAGAAATATTGTCTGATTGCTCAGTGGTTTGCTGTTCTGAAACTTCTACTTCCTCAGCTGCTGCAGCTCTTTCAGTTCGTTTCGCTGGATTAGTTTTTACTTCAATCATTATTATTCTTTCTACTAATATTGTCTGATTGTCTGGTGTTTTGCTGTACTAAAACTGCCACTACTGACTTCAGTTGATTCGCTGAATTTGTCTTTAATTTAATTATTTTAATTCTTTCTACTTTTATCAGTTTTGCTGTATGAATTGTAACTATCATTAGTTAGAATTGGTTTTTTAATACACCTTTTTTGAATACTTTCTGTTTGTAACTAGTTGCATAATAATCAAATTAAATAATTTTTTTCATAATTTTCAAAAAGTAAAAACGCTAACAAAATAATTAACAATTTATTATAGACACTTGCACTTTATTTTGCAGTGTAGTTGGACATGTACATCATGTATTGGGATATAGGTTTATTGAACAACTACACGTATATTGTATAAATAAACTTTATAGTGCCAGCCCCTATGGCAGCCCTATAAGGGAGTAATGATTGTATCATAATTAGCAGCATTATCAGCTTTAGGCCACTCCAATTAGATTTGTGGTTTCTCCTTTTTCTACCCACACACACCCTACGATGGCAATTATTTGATTATTTATGCACTACATCTCTGACTATACACATCAATTTTGATTGCAATATTTAAAATTTCAATGAATATTGGTGACCTTAGAGTACACAATACTTCAGTTCCTACAAATCTAAAAACAGTTCAACCTCTTTTAGTGACTTCATTGAGTCAAGCACAGGAACTAAGGAACAAAGCACTTGAGAACCAATACTCTCCATACAGTACTGAGTAATTTAAGCTAAGTGTTTTCACTGTTTTGCAATTGTGAGTAGCAGCTGGTTAATTATAGCAATTATTAATTTGTAGTGGAAGTACTAAAAGCCCTATTGGTTAGATTTACTCATCGAACTCAAGAGCTGTTAAATTATTGGTTTTTATAGTAATGGTGATTTCAATGAAAATCAGTATACCAGGAAATGTTGGAGGACGAAATTTTGGTTATCTAAATTGCAGTGATTCGCAAGTACAAGTAAATTTGTGATCATTAAGACCAACAGTAAACTTGGCCTACTCTAAAAGAAGTATATCAAGTGTGTACTCAGATAAGGGTGACGTGTGTATAGACAAACAATGATATTTTGCTCAAGTGGGCTCACTCAGGCTCACCCCAATGAAGTCTATACCTAAGTAGAGGTGCTCTATATCAATCAATAATCTTTCAAACTTTGGACCTTGAGTATCGAACCGATGATACATATCAAACTATTAATAAAATTTACAAAAATGACCATAATTATGCACATGAAAAATACCTTTCTTTTAGGATTTGATCTATCAATTAATAGAAAATCAATCAATTCATCATTATTTGATGCTAACTGTATCCAATGAGACAATTTACCTGTGATAGTTTAATAATTTTTCAAAAAAAAATTAAATATACATCTTAGAATATTTGTCGTACAATTAATTTTTACTACCTCTTCCAGCTCCAAATTCAATAAACAAACTATCACTGGATAGTAACCCTAATGAATCCAAATGACCAATTATCGATGACTATAAATTATAATACATGTAAATGTGCATATTATCAATAATAACAATAACGTACTTGTTGTAATAAATGTTTGAGTGCAGTTAGCCCATTACTGTCACTGCTAATTTCATCATCCAATACTTTATGAGTCTTTATATCCTCTGATATTGGTACCTCTAATTCTAATTGCAATAATAATAAAAATCAATCATTATTGATATCATTGTACTTACTCTTTATGGCTTTGTCAATGCGTCCCATCAGCTCCATCATTGTACCTTCACTAAAATCAGAAATATTACACTAAAATAAGAATAATAATAATGACGATCATAATTAATAATTAACTCACAGTTTCTTCCTTTAGTGGTACATAATTGGGTATACCAGTATTAATATTAGCTACATAACAATCCTAACAAAAAAATTAATAAAAAATAAGATTATTAATTACGTAACAAAATAGCAATAGCATAATTACTTAAAAGACATAGCAATTAAAGTAGAAGTGGAATATTTTACTGCATTTATTATTCAATTTTTAAATTTTTATGTGATTTTAATTTTACAGTTTACATGGAATCTACTATACATTAATATAGCCACAAAAAAATTCACTGGAATTTATTTTTACTTTTTTCTTTTATCGTAAAATTACAGTAATTATTGACATACTGGCACTTCCCTCTTGCTTGCGTTACATTTCTTTAAATGTTTATTAATATCTTTCTCATAGACTGTGCTAAATAATGATAAATAAACAATAATAACTGAAGTAGTTATTCTTACTGTGACGAATCCAATGGACATGTAATTCTCTTTCCAACGCTTCCCTAATTACATGTATAAACAATAATTATTGTCGATTCACTATCCCATTTTAAATAAAATGATTTTAGGTTACAAAAAAATCCTATGAAAATTTAACAACTATATGGCAAATGCAAAGCACTATATTTATGGCTAATAATTGTACTATAATTAAAACACAATTATATGCAACTCATAAAAATGAATGTGTACATCATACTTCTTGTTCTTTATCATTCAGTAAGTGTTCAGGACAGTATATTGATCCTTTAGTTGCTAGCATTCTACAGGAACGACCCTTCCTCTTTACGAAGAAAGCGCATTTACCATCAGAAATCTCTGGTTTAGCGGCCATCTTTAATAATAATAATTAACAATTATTTTTAATTTAAATGATTATCAATCAATGAATTTAGAGCTTTTAAACTACAAAAAGAAGATTGCTAATAATAATTAACTCAAAATTTATTAACGTCTTCCTTTCTTCTTTTTGTTTTGCTTTTTCTGCAGT